ATTTCCTAATGAGCAACTTTTTGCTATCACCCAAGACCCTTCCCCATGGTACGCGGACTATGTGAATTATCTGGTGAGCGAGGTACTTCCTCCTGAAATTGAATATGAAGCTAGAAAGAGGTTTCTACATGATGTGAACTTCTACTATTTGGATGAGCCATATTTGTACAAGCAGTGTGCTGACCAAATGATGAGGAGATGCATACTTGAATAGGAGGTTGAACTAGTGTTGTATGATTTTCATGCATCACCCTATGAGGGCCATCATGGAGACGATAGAACAACTGCAAAGGTATTACAATCCGGTTTATTTTGGCCAACATTATTCAAGGATTCCCATGCATTTGTTAAGAAGTGTGACCAGTGTAAGAGAACAAGAACAATCACAAAGAGACATGAGATTACTTTGAATAACATCCTGGAGATCGAGATTTTTGATGTGCGGGGGATAGATTTTATGGGACCATTCCCATTGTCCAGAGGAAACAAATACATTTTGCTAGCAGTTGACTACATGTCAAAATCGGTAGAGGCGATCACATTGCCAATGAATGATGTCATGGTGGTAGCTGCGTTTGTGAAAAAGAACATATTTTTGAGATTAGGGACTCCACGTGCTTTGATTAGTGATGAAGGGACACACTTTTGCAATCGATTGTTGAATAACGTTCTAGCTAAATATGGAGTCCGCCATAGAGTTGCGACGGCATATCATCTACAAACAAGTGGACAAGTTGAGGTGTCTAATAGAGAAATAAAGCAAATCTTAGAGAAGACGGTGAGTGTGAATAGAAAAGATTGGGCTGCAAAGTTATGGAACTGCATACAAAACGCCAATTGGGGCGTCGCCGTATAGGCTAGTTATGGGAAGGCATGTCACTTGCCTGTTGAACTTGAACACAAAGTATATTGAGCCATTAAGAATTTAAATATAGACCTTGAAGCCGCAGGCGAGAAAAGACACTTGTAGTTGAATGAGTTCATACTGCACTCTTATGAAAATGCTTACAAAGAAAAGACAAAAAGATGGCATGGCAAGCATATCAAACTGTGTCGCTTCGAGCCAAGCCAACAAGTATTATTGTTCAATTCTAGACTAAGACTATTTTCTGGGAAGTTAAAATCGAGATAGTCAGACCCGTTTGAGGTAGTGAGAGTCACTCCTTATGGTGCAATTGAGCTGCGAGCCTTGAATGGTGAAAGGAATTTTTTGGTGAATGGACATAGAGTTAAACATTATTAGGGAGGAATAATTGATTGTGAGAAGACCAAGGTTGTACTCGCTGATGAGTAATCGAGACTCTGCGTCATGCCACGACGTTAAATCAGACGCTTGTTGGGAGGCAACCCATCTTTACTAATTTCGTTTATTTATATATTTTCTTATTATTGTTGTAGTATTTGTTTTTGTTTTGTAGGATTATAAGCATAAGAGGCAAATCCATTGGAAGAGTGCAAAAGCGAGTTAGATGGTGAGAAATAAGTGTGGGGTGCCACACAGAGGACCATGCCTGGTGGACGTCTGAGTACCCGTGAGCCGCTATTGCTTCGGCCTTTGGCCTTTCAGGAAGTTTCTTGTCCACCCTCGTTATTGTTTTGCTTATTTGTGCATTGGGGATACTGCACTCTTTTAAGTGTGGGGTGGAGAATTCTCTAGATAATTAGTAGTAGGATGTTAGAAAAATATTAATTTCTTATTTTTGTTTTCGTAGTTGTGTAGTATTTTAGTAGCTATGAAAAAAAATGAAAAAAAAGTAGAAAATTGGACTTCTCCCGGTGATGGATCGCATTCGACAGGTGTCTTGAGGGATTTAAGTCTAAGAAAAAAAGACAAAAAGATTTTCGTTTGTTAGGTAGTGTAGTAATTCCCCCTTGGTTTTTCTTTGTGACGCGGTTCTTTTTCAAGGATTTTATTTAAATCGGGTGTAGGTAATTTTATTTTTTAGGAGTAGGAGCCACTGTGAGATGAATTGAATTGAAACAATATCTCTTGACTTTGTTATGCCTTGAGATATAAATAGTGAGTACTTTGGTTGTGACGCTTAGGCTCAAGTTTTTGACTCTTGTATAAGTATCTTAAATTGTATGATCTTAAATTTGCTTAACTGATTTGACTAGAGTGTCTTGATGAGTCCAATCGTGAGTGATTTATGTGCCATGTATGTGTGAGATTTGTGTGTTATTCTGTGCATTGTATTTGATGTCTAGAACTTGCCCCGTGTATTTGCAAAGCGAAATAGTAGTGTTGTCTAGTCTTGGAAGTGATATAGGCGTTTCTTTATTGAGCCAGATATATATAGTTTACCCGCCTAATTGTTATGTATCGTAGCTAACCCCTTTTAGCCTGTAATCATGTTTCTTTAGCAATCATATTACAAGCCTTACCCATTTATTTGAATTAACCATCTATTTGAACCTTTTCACCTTTCATGAGCACTTGAATTGTTATGAACTTTGTAAAAGTTAAATTGTGTGGGTAGTTGGTTTGGCTTTTGAGTGGAACTAATGAAATAAGGAGAAATGTGCATTGTTTTGAAAAAATAAAATAAAAGCCACTTGAATTAAAAAAATAAAGGAAAAAAAAATAGTTGAATTGCTGTGAAAAAATATTCCTTGATAGTGGTGACTCTTGATATAATTGTGCTTAAAGAAGTATGGAGTTAATATACATTGATGTGAAGGTGGAGTTATGATTTGACATAAGTGTGGGGTTTAAATGTTAAAGTGTACGTATTAAAGTACTTAGGGTGGTGTAGTCACTATTATATCCAAATGTATCCTACCCGACCCGCAGCCTACATTACAACCAATTAAAGTCCTACTTGATCCTAAACTGAATGAGCTCGATTAGTAGAGTAGTATATTATGGGCAAGCCTATGGTGTATCTTTTGTGGCATATCAATATTATTTCTGAGAGTGAGTGAATTCTTTCTATCTTGAGTTCCTAATTGTTCTTAAATTTTATTGTGTGTGGAACTAATCTCTTTTGTTGTGTGAGGGCACTTGATTCATGAAGGAAATGTAATGTCATTGACCTCTATGTTAGAGTAAGTGAGTGAGTTGTGAATAATACGTGGTACTTGTGAGTCAAATTTTGAGGTGAAGATATTACACCCTTGTGCTTAGTCTATTTTAAAGATTCTTGGTGTGATAAGTTAGGAGAATTGTTTAAAAATGTCGTATCTATATAAAGTGTAGTTTGATTGCTCGAGGACGAGCAACGTTTAAGTGTGGGGTATTGATGTTTTACTATAATTACATATTTTTAGTGCATTACTTACTTTATATTTTGGGACTTTAATGCTAAACTATACTATATTTGTGCTTAATTGAGTTTATTTTATATGTAGGTACGTTGGAGGCTGAATTTTGAGCGCACGGTGAATTAATCTTAAATAGTGTCTTTATGATGGAGGACGATTGAAGAGACAATGCAAAGGAATTGAAAGAACGAAACAGAAACGAAAACGAGAAAGGAAAAGGAAAGGTTAGGCAACTAGCACTAACTCTATGAGAAATCAGAACATTGAAATGAAGATAAGCAGTTGGGCGACGCGAGCTTTCTAGCTCGCGGTGGAGCTGGCGACGCACGGGGTAAAGCGAGAAGGAGCTTGCGGCGCACGGGCTGAGGCGAGATGGACCAGGCGTTTTGCCTCGCGAGCCGAGGCCCGTGGCGAGCGTGTTCCGGATTTTTAAAGCCTATTTTATCTCCTATTTGATTTTGGACTTGGTTATTTCATTTAGGTCTCTTCCCTACACATATAAATAGTCATTAAACATCATTATTAGAGAAGTTTTTGCGACCGGAGGCAAGAACATCACGTGGACAACTTTTGGAGAAGAAAATCATCGAGTTCTTCATCCCTTTATCTTTTCCTTGTAATTTGTTTATACAAAATACTTGGAAAATTGTTACTACGAATATGAGCGGCTAAAACCCATAGTTCTGGGGTTATGATTTAGCCATGAATATTGTTGTTTTATGTTGAATTAACCTTGATTACAATTCACTAATATATGGTTATTTCTTCAATTCTGTGATTAATTACTTAATTGTCTGGCCAACAGTTAGGTCCTATTTACTATCTATGCTATGCTTGGGAAAACCATGTTTAGATTAGAGAAGAATTGAAGAGAGCACGATCTTAACTCTTAGGGAGGGGAGCGGATTTGTGGTTAGGATAGGAATATACCTAGTCACCGTGTTTAATTAAATATAGTAATCTTAATGCGTTCTTGATAAATTGATTCCATAGGAATATAGGCATTGATCTATTTTGAATAGACGAGTAGTACTTCAGGAGAAGGCTATGAGAGTAATTGTTCGATTAATTAGCAACCATGAATGAATTGTACGAAAGGGAGAGTTAACTAAAACACAATAGGATTGGTGAATCGATCACAACCCTGAAATATTTGTCTCTACTAAATACACCACAATTTTACTACTTGATAATTTAGTTACTACTTAGAATTATAGTTTAGTATAATCACATTCTTGAACTCGATTTTGGCTTGACCGAATAACAATCTTGGTGATTTTAGTAGGTAGTTGATACAAGTCTTTATGGGTTCGACATCCGACTTATTATTTTATTACTTGTACGACCACGTATACTTGCGTGTGCATTTGAAGCAACATCGATCACCAATGCGCTTGAACCTAGAGGTTTCAAACACCCACATCCACCCCATAAGTTTTTAGTTGATTTGCTGAAAATTATCTGAAAAAATAATTCTTTTCTTAAGTCGATGGTAGTTTCACCTCAAAATTTATGTTTTCTCTTTTCCTGAAAATGTCGTGTTCAGACTACACAAAGATGCTTGTCCAAATTAGCAATCACAGAAAACTCTTCACTCCAAAACGCCCCGCAGAAAAACATTTGGGTTTGGGCAACATCTGAATTCCTTTCTCACTTTTTAATTACTTTGAAGTCGTTAACTTTCAGCCTGTCAAAGCAGTACGCTGGATTCCAAGTCACTTCTACAGAACACATTACAAGAGGAAATGTTAATATATATATATGTATTTTCATGTGTATCTGCTATCAACTAGGTATTTCTACATCCTGGCTCTAATTTATGCATATGATGCCCAACAAGGGAGAATAAGAAATTAACAGAATGAAAAAGCTACAGCAAAAAAGACAACTCTTCTCTTCTGATCTAAAGTGGACGCATATTCCCTTTATGAACAGACACCTACTATAAGTTTGTAAATATGGCTAATATCGCTAATCTCTGAACCCCTTTCTTTACCATGGACCAGTCTGTGTCCGTCTTAAGCATCGCCTTTTAGCTCCCTTTTGAAGGTTCATCATTTCCATAACCTGTATCACAATAATGCAGTAACTTCAGTTGTTAGATCCAAAATGGCTATGCTAACTCAATTCGAGAAGAAAACAATGTGATCATAGAGGTAGAATATCTTTGAGCTTCTACAGCTAAAACTTGGACAATTTCGATCAGTGTGTGCTGAATTATCTGACTATGTTTATTAAGGCAAAATCGCGTAGACAAGAAAAAAGCACGAGGGGTTTGACTTGAAAGAGGAAGAACAACTTTATATACCTGATTCTTCTGAATTTCCAACATTTCTTCCTGCAACAGAACAATCTAGTTAGTGGTGAACCATTGAGACAGACAAAAGTTGCAATGTGATTTCATATAAGATCACCTGTTTCTTTTGAAGTTCTTCGTTTTCTTCTTTTAGTTTTGCAACTTCTGCTTCTAGCTCCATAGTATACGCCTAGAGAACGAGTTAAAATTTGTAATCAGTGACCACAAGAGTGTTCATCAGATTAAAAATTGAGGAATTGTTAAGTGCATATGCATCCTTTGAAATTTAAGGAATTCGATGTGCTAGTTTTTGGTCATTTCTACATTTAGGAAGACAAAAGCACAGGAGGCAGAACTATTTAAAGGTTACAACTTATAACAGTGTTAGTCATACAAATTTTGGTTGCTTTGTGTAGCACAAGTTGCATTACATTTTATTAAACCGAATCTTTGAACCTTTCAAATCTTGTCACATTACATCTCAAATACCATTCTGCTGCATACGATATCCAATCTTTTTTAGAGTTAAAAGATGCACCTCGAAGTATAATAAAGCAGATCATTAATCATCAAATGGATGTGGTTAAATGCACCAAATAATGATATTAGCATGTGGTTAGAGAAACAGGTTAAGCAAAGTTCATGAGGACTTAACTAAGGAAGTTATAAGAAGATCGATGGAAGTATGATTAAGTTTTCTGAATAACACAACGGATGGTGTTTCTCCCCTCTCAACTAGAGCACACAGCTACATCTAAGAAAGAGTATATCAACGGATGTTTCCGAACATACTAATCAGACCTATTCAAATCACAATCTTGAAGATATCAAGATAAAAATTTACAATTTTACAGGAAGAGAAATCTACTGAAATCGTATAATATTAAGATTATACACATTAAGGACAGATGTATTGGTTTCTGGTATACACATAGCTAGAAATACAAATGCATGCAGACACCAAAGGTATATCCTATGTGTGAGATTCAGAATATTACCTGTTTTCTAGCTCTTGATCTGGCAGCTGACTCTCTATTTTTTATCATTCTCCTCTGCCTCCTTTCAACAACCTTCTCCACAGTACTGTATTTTCGGCCTCTTATACCACCATTAAAGACATAGGGAAGTGGAGATACAGAAGGTGTATCTCCATTGCTCTTCCCAAGTCCATCTGATGAAACAGCTGGAGATGCTGTCGCAACAGTAACACCTCCGGCTCCTAAACCAACCATACCTATTCCTCCACCCGTTAAAGCAGCACCTTGGACGAAATTAGAATTGATCGCCGGATCAGAAATACCAACCATTCCTCCCCTCATTCCAGGACTGCCCAACTGACCACTATTTGGTATAGCCATAGGGGCAGCATATGCCAAAGCAGGCTGCTTAGGGAAAAGGGGTTGCTGATGTGGCTGTTGTTGCTGTGGTTGTGGTTGTTGTTGTTGCAGTTGCTGCGCCCTTAGCTGTTGTTGTGTTGATCTAACCCCATTCACATTCAGTGGCAAATTAGCAGCCTGAATACCAGTTTCACCCGTGTTCCTATTAGTTTGTTGATGTTGATATCCAAATCCAAGCCCCGTATTATTTCCAGCATAGGACAAATCAGCAAAGATTCCTCCAACATTATTCGATTTCGCGACTAACTGTGCATCTTCCCTCACAACTCCAGCTCTAACTAAGAACTCCTCAAGTGTTATCTCCCCTAAAGTTTGTTGCCTCTGAGGCAAATTTGTTGGCACCCCAACACTATTTCCATCTTTTCCACCACCATATTCCTTTGACATATCCCTCCAAACTTCATCAACAGTCTTATGACTCAGTGTTCTGGGTAAAGTCAAAGATCCTTGCCTTTGCAAATGCCCACTTTGAACACCACCAACTTCTTGCCCATTAATCCCAGACCCTCCCATTGTTTGACTTTCCTCAGCATTCCATATATTCTTTAGCAACTCATCCATATTCATTGAACCAAAATCCTTTCCGCTCCCTCCCGTCGTGCTCAAAAACTCATCGAACGTTAATGAATAGATAGATGGCTGCCGCGGCAACTGAAAGTTCCCCGGCTGCTTCCCACCCTCACCAGGTGGCTCATTTCCAAAGTTCTTGAAATTAAAATTACTCCCCATTTCACTAAAAATAATAGTCTCCAATCAAACTTCAAAACTCACTCTGTTATTCAAGAATCACAAAAACTATGTCAGATCAACAAGTTATTTCACTTCCCTCTAAGGCCTTTTCACTAAGATGCTGTTCAACCCCTCACACAAATGTACATATATCTACATACACACAGTTTTTCACAAGTGTATAATAAAACTGAAAGCAAATATACCTGGAAATAGATACAAAATGAAACTGAACCTAAACTTCACCAACCCCTAAAAAGAAAAATAATTAAAAACAGAATTCTACTTGAAATTCACTTCATTTCCACTTAGTTGACTGAACTTTCAGTTCACACCAATAACCCCAGAATACAAAGTACAAACTCCACACCAACCAATTCAACAAAAGCATAAACTTTAAATATCCACTTCAAATGTACAAACTCAAGTCAAAAATCACAAAGCTCAAAACCAGAAAGCTGAAAACTTTGAAGGTAAGAAACCAAGAAAGCTAATCAATGACTACTTATCCATAAATAGAAAATATTTAAGGAAGCACCAATAACAAGAAAGAATAAAACTTTTCTTTTTTTGAGAAATTTTTTAAATGGGAAGAACAGTGTGTTTTCATGTTTACCTTTTCTGTTTTTCTGGATATATTTTTTTCTTTCTAAACTTGCAGACTACTAGACGTTTCTTTCTTCTTTGGCTGCGAGTGGTTCTTAGAAGTGCCAAGTGTCTCACTAGGACTTTTTAATAAAGCAAAGGCCGGTAACCCAAAATATATAGTTTCGGATAATAAATTAATGGGCGTGTGGGGCCCAAAGGTATAAAACTTGGGCCAATTATTAATGGAGTAGGAGATGGTTGGTGTGACTTTAGGCCAATAGTGGAAAGAAAGGTGGGTTGATCAGAAACCGTCCACGTAGAAGGAAATGAACGGTTGAGATGAGTTTATTTGGTTTTTGTCAGATAGGTGGGATGGGATAGGGATGCACGCCCAAAAGTGTTTGCAGTAATGACCATTTCCCTTGTGTGTAGGGCAATTGGTGTTTAGGAATTGGTTAATACTATAATAGGGAAGTGACTTTATGGATTTCATTAAATTTGGCACTTTCTTATTGGCTAATTGTGGTTGAGATCTTGATTGAAGTTCAAGTGCTTTTATTACCAAGTTTCTTGAAGAATAATTGAATAGTTAGTGGTCGTTTAATTACCTCATTTAGGAAAATAATTTTAGTATAAAATTCGGAATTATTTTATACTGTGTTAGATTGGCACTTTATTTCTGATAAAACACCAGGATAACTTAAAGTGAAACCAAAAAAAGTAACAAAATAGTTTGGCGAACATTATTGTTGCATTGCAATCTCTTCATTATAATCTCCGCATAATATTGTCCACGGAGAAAAGAGTATTGTGATGTTTTTGACCAAACTTATTTATATTATTTGTTATTACAGCCTATTATTGTTTCACTAAAAAAGATACGAAACAATTTAGAGAACTTTTTACACTATTAACGTAGCTGTTTGCCTTCTTTCTCAATAAACATGGTAATTCTTACTATAGATGGCTATGTCCCTAGTTTTGAGGAAGTAAATAAAAAAAGTTATTTTCATTATGTACGACTGTACATATAATTTATGGAGAATGTCTATGGATGGAATATATATATGGATAAAATTGTTTTTATCTATTCATAGTGTAACAAATTTTACATAATTAAGTCAGCTAAAAACTCAATTGTGCGATGAGTAACATTTTGGAATTGTTAAAATTATATTGAACGGTAAACATTTTACATACCATTTGTGATGGAAATTGGAACTCTCTGATTGGTATTCTAGACGATTTCCAAGTTATTTTAGCTGCTTAACAACATCAGATATAAATGCTAACTGCAACAGTGCTAACTACCTTTCTGGAAATCAGATTAAGAACGATACGAATTAAATTATTGCACATCAAATGCTTATAATCAGTGTTTTAACTTTTAATTAGAGGAAAATCGTGCGAATTTAACTCAAATCGAATAATATTATGCCATGTTAAAAGTGTCATTAAGCTGGATTAACCTAACATTATGTTACCAAACTTTAAATTAGGAAAAGTGCATATTATATAAGGCAAATTAATCAGAATAAAACATTTCTTTTCCATGGTTGTTCTGGAACGTTTAGATCCGCTTGTATTATAATGAGTTTGAACTCTACCTTTTAATCATATCTGCACAAAACTATTTTCAAGTTAAGACTACAACTTTTCTTTAGACATGATATATAAACACAATCAATCATTTGGAATTTTCTCTAGACCTATCTCTTCTTGAGTACGACATGTGAAGTTCAAGACACATAGACATGTGTTAGCCTTTGCAAACTTTCAACTTAAAGTGCAAGGCCATATAATGATATAAAACACTCGTTATAGTAAAAGAATATTCTTGGGCAGATGTCCAAAAATGGGTAACCTAATTAAGCAAAGAACAAACTCAATTAATGCTAGCACAATATGGGTCTTCTAAAAGTGTCTACTCACCCAGACAAGAAGACATTTTCTGATTTTCCTTACCAAACAGACATGATTTAAAGGTTTGTGTTAAAAGTACAAGACTAGATTAAATTAAGCTTAAGTAGTATCTGTTTTTGTTAAACTTAAAGTCAAGCATTTGAGGGCTTACATAAGCATTACCTAAACTAGAACTTATCTAAAAAAAATGTTATTTTCCTTGTCAATCTCTTAGATGTGGTTTCCCATTATTGTTAAAGAAGCATTATTTTATAATCAATCACACCAAGATACTGACATGACACTCTCTAGATGGCACCTTTACTTTAATTTGAGTAGTCTATATATGGTCAGATACTCAGAATCTGTATTCACTTTCTTGAATTAGTATATATGTATATAATTAATCTTTAAGAAACTGAAAAAGTACATGATCTTAAAATGAAAAAAGATAGGTGGAGGGGAAGCAAAACCAAAAACTCCTACATAGAGTGCACTTTGAGAATATAGATGGCATACCATCAAATCTCTATGTTGTTGATTCAATTAGTTTGAGTAAATATGCTATTAGAGATGATAGTTTTTAATAAAGTATTTAAAAGATTTTTGAATACACAATTGACAATCAAAATAACGAACCACAACAACAAACATAGTGTAATCCCATAATGTGGGGTCAGACGGGGTAATGTATACACCGACCTTATTCCTATCTTCTGAAAGTAGAGAGACTGCTTCCAATAGATTCTCGACACAAGGAAAGAAGAAAAAGAAGCGGTAACTATTGGAAAAATTGGATTATTATGAAAAATAAAAGGTTTAGCTTGAGGCGTGTCAAAGACACTGTCTTTAAGGATATTTCACTCAAACCGTGATAAATAAAATTAGACGTATCCCCCAGGATTCAACAAGCTCTTCTAATACAAACTAGGAGCAGAAACAACAAAGATTGAATAAAAAAAAACCAGCACAAAAGAAAAGAAGAAGAAAATGTTCACTCTTGTTTCTCTGCTATTTTTCCCTTCCTTTCCTTCAACGTGAAAGTAGAGTATATATATATATATATATATATATATATATATATGATAAGTTGATAGAAGTCATTGTTGGTATTATTAATCTTGATAATGCAAAGTCAAAGATTTCTTTGTGGTCCCTTTTTCTTCTTTACTTGTTTGTCTTTTGTGAAAGATAACATGTCCCTCATTAGTCGTGGAAAGTAATTTCCTTCTCTTTATATTGAATTGCTCTTTGTTGGGCTTGTAAAAAGCTAGTAAAAGGGAGTGGTCTCACGCACATAGAAAATTAGTCCTGAAGACAAAACGGGTCGATTTGTGAAAACCCAGCGAAATTGGATTAAGAGTTTAATAACTCAACCTCACATTCCTTGCAGTCTTGCACTGTATGCACACACACCATTGGAAGAGACATAATTTAATAGTGCATATTTGATCTACTAATGACTTGTTATTACCAATATGAACCTACTTCATGGGATATCCAATCACATAGGTTGGGTTACCATCATTGTTGATACATCTCAAATTGGCAGAAGTTTCAATCCCTCGATGTTTCACTTACAAGTCAAAAGATCGGCCAAATCCTCTTTTGTCTACACTTAATATGTATAAAAATTTCTCTATAAGCAATTGCTTTATCACATTATGTCTCAAGAGAATGTGTCTACTCTTCCCATTGAGAGATTTATTTTCTTACAATGGCTATTGCGCCTCGGCAATCACAATTCATCGACACAAATATTGTCGGCTTAATTCCTAGTGGAATATTCACCAAAAGGTTGCTTAATCAACCTCATTGCCAAGCAATTTCAATACTGTAACACCCCACCAAAAGGTGATCACACAACATCTGAATCAAAGATTCAATATCATCATTGTATCCTTTTAATACAATAAAAAATCCAGATACAGAATACTAACTCATAGTATTTCCCGAGTAAGGCACAAAATCATCTCAAATGAAATGAAACTTGACTTCTATACAAGTGCCTTTTGAAACATCTTTAACACATATTCAAATACCAAAGTAAAAAATTTCAAACATAGAAGCAACTTTAACGTCTATAGAAATATCTAAAGTATGCAACGAATCATAATTTAATAATTTCTTCACCCAAATAACCAAGAGACCTATAATAAAATAACTAATCAGAAATACAACGTATATTTTTGTATCTTCCAATACAAATTTTCGTCACAAAAAAATCTCATTTTTGTATGGCTTCATCATTATAATTTTAATAAATAATTTTTCTCACATTTTTCCTTCTTAGGATCAAGCTATATAACTCTAGACACCACAGTCCCCCACATTTCTGAAAATTTTAGGTTAAGGAGATAATCTGTCACGACCCAAAATCCAACTAGTCATGATGGCACCTAACCCAACCCGCTAGGTAAGCCAATTATTAACTATCCAATTTCAATAACAATTATTAAAGCAATTTAAGTAAAAAAAATCTTAATCTTATACATTCCCCAAGAACTGGTAGTACATATCATGAGCTTCTAAGATTAGAATTTACAAAACTGGTATGAAATAAAGACATCATATGTTCGAAATGTACATAAATAGATTCTTATAAATCTAAGGCTACCGTGAACAAGAGACAGCTACAACCAGAATGTAGGTACTTCTTCAATTCCAGCTCCCGTCGAGTACAACAACATCAACATCCAATATTTGCATGCAAGGTGCAGAAGTGTAGTATGAGTACAACCGTCCCCATGTACTCAATAAGTAATAAACCTAACCTTAGGCTGAAAGTAGTGACGAGCTTGTACCAAGGTCAAAGTCCAACTCCCATAAGCAACAACAATTTATAACAACATAAAGCAAGTAATAAAAGGAGTAACCCAGATATAAAATGCTCAGCTGAATCATGATTTCTGAAAATAGTTCTGCCTTTCAAGTACATCAGTGAAAAACCCAAATCGTTTATTGAAGTTGCCAAAAATATAAGTAAGTTGAAAACAGTAATTTTCCCAAAAATCCTTTCCACAATAAATAAGATATTTCATTTTCTTTAAAGATAGCCAGTGACAAATGCATCATTATGCCTATAGGACAGTATGTGTGAAGTCATGAAATACATGATACCGTACAACATGAGAAAAATATATCTCTATACCTGTATGTCATGTGTGCATGTCAATGCGATGCAACTCAGTGATAAAAACTATATGCATACTCTCAGAGTATCAATTCACT